AGAGAGTCAGCCTGGTCTTTGAAGCATTGAGGACAGCCGTTGGCTTTCCATCAGTAGCTATGAAATTCTAGATGACATCTTCCAATACAAGGCTGTTTCATCTACACTGACAATGAGTCATTCCGTGCAGCCAACCTCATCAGTGATCTTGGCTGGGTCTGGGTAACATGCTGCAGCTTCTATTGACACATCAGAATTTGCTGCTTCACCTGGAACTTCTATGTTATGGAGATAGCTTCTCTCCTAACCTCATGAACCAGCCTCTGCTAGCTTCAAACTTTCCTTCAGTGGCTTCCTCACTTCAGCCTTCAGAGAATCAAGGAGAGCCTTGCTGCGGAGGAGGCTGTGGCTTAGAGGAATATTGTGGCTGATTTGATCTTCCGTCCACACCACTCAAATGTTCTCAGTATACGCAACACAGGTGTTTTACTTTCTTACCATTCACGTGTTCACTGGAGCAGCATTTTTAATTTCCATCGAGAACCTCTCCTTTGCCTTCAGAGCTTGGCTAACTGCTTCACACAGAGGCCTGGCTTTTGGCCTGTGTCAGCTTTCTACATGCCTTCCTCTCTAAGCTAAATCATTTCTAGCTTTTGATTTAAAGTGAGAAATGTGTGATTCTTTCCTTAACTTGCACACATAGAGGCTATAATAGAGTTAATAACTGGCCTGATTTCTGTATTTTTGTTGTTTTAGCAAGTAGTGAGTCCTGAGGAAAGAGAGAGATGGGGGAATGGCTGGTTGATCAAGCAGGTAGAACAGACACATTTATCAATTAAGTTTGCTCTCTTGTGTGGGCACCAAGAACCTCCCAAAATTACATCAATAACATCAAAGATAGCTGGTCACAGATTAACATGACAGATATAATAATAATTAAAAAGTTTAAAAAGTTGCAAGAATTCCCAAAATGTGACATGCAGACATGAAGGGAGGCACATGTTGGGAAAATGCCACCGATAGACCTGTTCAGTGCAGGTTTGCCACACACCTGAAATTTGTAAAAAACACAATATCTGCAAAGTACAACAACACAAAGCACAGTAAAGTTAGCGAGGCCTGTGTCTAGTTCTCCAGTGCCTGAGTGCTCCAGTTTTCTGCCGCATAATCAGATTTGCTCCCTGCTGGGTCCTCCCCATCCTCCTCACCCCTCACAGGCATGGGGTCTCCCTATTTATACCCTGAAAGTCAGTTACCTCTCAGCCTCTTGATTTTCTTTCTCCAAAATTTTGTGAACATTTTTTTTTTTCACATAGTGTCAACGCCTATCTTGTTCTTTGGGTCCTTGTGGACTTACTTCTCATTAATTTATTGTCATTTTAGTCACCATGGGATGAAGTAGAGAGTATGCAGTTCTCCATGTTGAACTAAGAGTATTATTTTCCATTTTTGAGCTCCATTCATCTTTACTATATGGCTACGGAAACTGCGGAATTTAAAACTTCTGCCCCCCTTTCTTTGCCTTATCTATGGTGTTAGAACAAACAAATAGTGGACTCTCTGTGCTGATTTTCCTTCAGTGGTGTATGTGACCTGTTCGTAGGAATTTACCACATTCTTCTTCTGGATCACAACAAGGTCCCTAACAGGGGGCCCCACGGTGCTGGCCAAACACAGAACTAGTAGGAAAGAAAACCGCAGTCAAGAAGAACGTGACCGTTTTGACTTGGTTTTGATGATGGGGGCTGTTCTCTAACACGTTAACTTTCTCTTCTCACTTCCGACTTCCTTCTCTTTTCTTTTCTTTTCTTTTCTTTCTTTCCTTTCGTTTTCAATGTTCCAATGTTTGTAATGTGCGTCTCTTCCCCAGCAAACTTTTCCGAGGCTCCTGGTTCACATTTACATTCCCCCCAGTTCTCTTTTCCATTTGCCCTCCCCTTGTTGACCTGCACCTTTGTTGCTCTGCCCTCGACCCTTGCTGATTTTGTGGATGACCCGGTAATTCCTGCTCCACTTTTAGAAAGTACATTTTGCCCTTAGAGGCTTTGCCTTTCCTCTTATCCTGAGAACTTTCCTCAGACAATTAAAAACAAAGGCCACCTACTCTTTGGCCTCTTGAAAGAGAATAGGGCTTTCCTTCCCTTAATTAGCCTCCTTATTAGACCATTAATTTGTTTTCGTTCTAACAGAAGTTTATTCTCTACTTAAATGCACCTCTATTTCTCCAGAATCTGAGAAATTTCAAGTGCCTGGAATGCACAATCAAAAAAAGTAGTGCTTTTATTTTACATGCTGCAGCCTCTATTTTTTCTGGCTCATGAATCCTATCCCCTTTTATTGGCTTATTTCTTATGTTTATAAGCATATTCTGGATGTTGGCATGCTTTGCCAAAGAAGCGGCCTTAATTATTTACTCTTACTTAACTTTGAGGTGATATTTTGGTAACTTCTAGTGGAAAATTCAGTCTTCCCCCACTCTCTCCACCAAAGGAAGTTGCTCCACCAGTACCTCCCTAACGAGCTGCCTTTACTTCTGGGATGATCCTTTTCTCATACCTAGTAATGATCCACGATCATTTATAGACCAACCCAATGTCTTAAATCTTTCAGTCCACATTAAAAAAAAACAACACAACTTCAAAGTGGTTTCCTTTCACAATGATGACCAGGAAGACTTCTACATGAAGTTCCTTTAGCTGGATTAAAAAATCCACCCCTCACTTTTAGTCTAGTTTCTCTGGCTGAAATCACATCCAGAAGGCTGGTGATTAGAGAAGCGTTTAAAATGGCCTTCGGGGAGCCTTCCCCTTCTGACACTCACACCATCCTGCAGTCCTTTCACTGGGGTGCGGTTGCACTTGTGATCTCATCGGTAACGACTGAAACACAGCAGAAGCAATGGCGGGTCACTTCTGAGACTAGGTCACAAAATAACTATGGCTTCTGACTTGGCACTGTCTCTCTTGTTCTTGGTCACTAGCTTGCCCTGAGGGAAGCTGGCTAACATACTACAGCTCAGCTATGGAGACAGGCGTGTGGCCAAGAGCTGAAGGAAGCCTCTGGCCACTGGTCTAGGAGGAAATCCTGCCAGCAACCTGGAAGCCAATTCCCCCACCCCCAGCAGAACCTTTAGATGAGATGCCAGTTGCAGTGGACACCCTGACACCAACCTCCTGAAAGGCCTTGAGCCAGAGGCACCTACCCAAGGCATGCTCAGATTTCTGACTCACCGAAACTGTGAGATAATAAATGCTTGTTACATGAAGTCACTAACCTTGAAGGTAATTTGTCACACAGCAATAGATAACTAATAACGGGCTCTTCAGGCAAATGTTCTAGTTTTTTATATGATTAATATCTATTTAGATCATTCTTTCCCCTGGATGTTAACTTAATTACTCATAAACGATTCTCTTTAAATTCCTCTTTGAGAGCAGAAGTAGCAGCTGCCCGTCTCATTCATAATCACGTCGCCAGTGCTGACTAGCACCGCGCTGGCACCTTGACAGATACTGATATAGAATTACTGAATTTGACCCTTCTGTTTTTTCCTCTCTGACCTAGTTCATACGTTACTCTTTACTTTCTGTATTGTCATTTCTTTGGGGATTTAAGAGTTAGAAAACCTGCAGGTCTAGGTGCCGGGACCTTCTCCTCCTTTGACCTGCTGTCCCTCCCCTCCAGCTCCAAGTGAGCATTGCCTCTCTCTTCGTGGGGTTTCTCCGGTGGAGCTGAGCCCATGTGCGCTCACCCTCCCCACTGCAGCCTGAACTGGGGATGTGGCTCCCTTTACTGGGGAGGCTGCTGTGTTCCAACAGGAGACAATTATCTGACCCCCTGGCCATCTGGAGGAGTAAGGAGTATGTTTATTATTTGTTTTGTTTTCATTTTAAAAGCAGAAAACCCCAATGGAGGCCCACAGTGTTAAGCCTGAGGTCATCTTGAAATTTAGAAGCAGAGTAATAAGAACTCAAGTTTCCTGAACGGGGAAACATCACACCGTGGAGATTCAAATTTGAATCTTAGCTCCACCGAGCTATGTTGTGGCCTGATGGAAATCATTCAGTCTTCTTCAGTCACGTCCTCATCTATAAATGCAAGTAATTTCTACTTTATAGGGTGGTCTTAGGCATTATTCTTGATCCAGCTTCTGTCCATTTCATATTTTGTCTACTATTTATAACACCTTTGCAATAGGTTCACTTCATAATTATGACATAAACTTTCTGTTTTGGTTGGTAATTTAAATAAAGCAAGAACATATTTAATTAACAATAAATATTACTAGTAGCATTTTCCTTTTATTTCTTTGTTAAGGTGTGGATAAAATCAACAAACATATTTCCACTTACTGACAGTCAGGATCTTCCTCCACTGCCTTTGTTTGCTGTGCTGTCGTAAATGGGATCAAATATTCTAATGTGACACCACATCGGTGATTAGAAAACAGATTAATGGTCCCGCTATTTCTAACCTGCTTAGCAGTTCAGAAATAAGACTGTTTGAAAAAAAGCTTGCAAATCAAAGTAAGTCTACTCTAGTTTAAATATAAACACTGCTAAAATAACCGTGCATATGAGGGAAAGACCAGTGCCCGTAAGTTACCTTGTGAGTGCAGGGTATCAGGTAAAATCCTAAAGTGAAAGTATATTGAAAATATATTGTCCAAATACTTTTCTAACTTAAGCAGTTTTAGTGCTTTAACACTTTTGGTGCTCTCAAAGTTTCTTTGGCAAAGATTCAATGCTAAAACAAATAACATGCAAACATACAAAGATTCCCAGTCTTAAAAATCTTAAATAGTGATTTGTAACACAGAACTGGCACTGAGGGACCTTAAGAGATGAGGTAGCTCAATGTGTTCATCTTACGGATACGGAAGCAGGTCCGGAGAGGTGAAGGGACCGCCTAGTTAAGGACATGGCAAGGATGTGATCTCAGGTCCCTGACTAACAGCGCAGGAATGTTTCTCTGACACCAAGCTGGTTTTCATGTTTTTGTTTGTTGAAAGAACATGTGCTCCTCTAGTAATTGCAAAGGTACCAGCATCTGTTTCCTACCTCTTCCTGGGACCGGTTGAACTGCCGGATCAGTTGGGTTTGTGCCAGCATTACTCTTTCCAGTTCATCTGACTTCTGTTTCATTTCCTTCCTCAAGTCTTCTGAAACTGAATCATTACTGTCAATTTCCTTCTTCAGCCGAGATTCAAATTCTACAACCATATTTTTAAGGTTTTCTATTTCTTTTTCTTTTGACTCAGATTCTTCAGTGTATCGAACATGGGATGCATGGAGTTTTTCTTCAAGAGTGGTCACTTCCAGCCTTAGATCTCTTGTAGCACCTGTGATTAAGTCAGATATCTGTAAGATAAATCTCAAGTTAGTTTGTAGGCAATAGGTTTTAGGTAACCAGAGTTCCTAAGGTTTTTAAGAAGTTTACTCTAATTAATTAGTATACTCTTCCGATCAGATGCAAACAAATCCTATGATATACTAGTATGCAGACTTTCAAAATTTTCTTTTAAAAGTTAAGACTAGGGCAGCACCTGTGGCTCACTGAGTAGGGCCCCAGCCCTATGTACCAAGGGTGGCGGGTTCGAACCTGGCCCCAGCCAAACTGCAACAAAAAAATAGCCAGGCGTTGTGGCGGGCACCTGTAGTCCCAGCTACTCGGGGAGACTGAGGCAAGAGACTCGCCTAAGCTCAAGAGCTGGAGGTTGCTGTGAGCTCTGATACCACAGCACTCTACTGAGGGTGACAAAGTAAGACTCTATCTCAAAAAAAAAGAAAGAAAGAAAAAAAGAAAGAAAGAAAGAAAAAAAGAAAAAGTTAAGATTAAAACTTTTTTTTTTTTTTGAGAAAGTCTCACTCTGTTGCTCTGGGGTTGAGTACTGTGGCAACATACCTTACAGCAACCTCAAACCATTGGGCTCAAGAGATCCTCTTGGCTCAGCCTCTTGAGTTACTGGGACTACAGACACCTTCTACAATGCCTGGCTAGTTTTTCTATTTTTAATAGAGATGAGATCTCACTTTGCTCAGACTGTTCTGGAACTCCCAAGCTCAGGCAATCCACCTGCCTTGGCCTCCCAGAGCCCAAGACTAAAACTTTTATTGTTCCACCTAAAATGGTATCAACTTTAATCACCTTTGGAAATAATCAAAATCTCTGTGACTGTACTGAGCTATGAGGGACAGCTCAAGTCTTAACAAGTAGATCAGGGACCTGTCTGGGCCTAACTGGGCTGGTTTTGGGATCTTGAAATGCCTAATGTTTGGGGATGCAAGGAGAACAGACCAGTCAGACTGTCGTCATACCCTACTAGTTAGTTTTCCTTTGACATGACTTTTTTTCTTTCTTTTACATGTATGTCATGGCTGGAGGTACCCCAAATGCTATACTTTCTAGAAAAGCATTGCCTGACAGAACTTCTGTGATGATGGAAACATTCTGTGTTATCTGGTATGGTAGCTACTAGCTGTATGTGGCTATTGACAGTGGTATGCTGGTAAATATTTAACAACTGAATCTCAAAGGAAAAAAAAAGCCAGATGTGTATCTAATTTCCATGGTACAAATATTCTCACTATGGTTAACAACAAGATATTTTGATCACTAAGTTGGGAAGAGGGGCACACAAAGGCTCTCAAAGGCCAGTTCTGGCCACCGAGCGCTTAAAATGTGGCTAATGTAACTAAGGAACTGATTTTAACTTTTAATTAATTTAGTTGAAATTTAAGTTAAGCTACATTTGGCTGCCATAATAGTGCAATTCTAGAGAACAGCAGAATACTGTGAAAACACAGGGCTTTTCAGGGTGGTACCTCGAGGTAAATAAATGAGGGAACAACTTGGAGAAGCTTTTTCTCATAGCATGAAAGTCTTTACAAGGGGAAAGATTGCTTGTTTTCTTTCTTCTTAAAAACAAAGAACAAAAACAAAAAACAAACAAGAAGGAGCCGAGCTGCTCTGATGAAATATATCCTCTTACTTATGCCACAAATATTATCCTATTATAAATATTAGTACAAGAAAATATCCCCACAAGAAATCTGGGAGACATTCATTGACCAAAGTTCCAAGGACTTTGTGAACTATTACTTAGAAAGAATTATGTATCCAAATTTGCTTCAAATGTTAAATTGACATAAGGCATAACTTTTGTGAGAAGTCTATTCAGAAGTAGTAAATTTATTCCATTGTCTTCCATTAATCAAGGAGGGAAGAGGGCCACTGCTATGTCGGATACTGCTTTTTGTCACCCCGAGGAGAGCTGATAATGAAAGAGAGCCAGGTTATCCTTGGGAGAGGAGGATCACATAGTCACAAATATGTTTTTATCTTTTAAAAGGAGAGCCAACACTTAAAAGTCAGGAGATTTCACTTACA